GGCTCACCTTTAGCTGCATATTTTGTGAGATATTCAACACAAGCATAGTGATCAATAACAACTTGAATATCACAGTTAGCTCTCCATCCTTGGAGCTGAAGTTGTTGATGGTTATTTAACCTAGAGTCATTTCGTTTAGTCACAATCTTTGCTTGATAATGCTCATTATCACCAGAAGTGTGAACTTTTTCAAATTCTAATTTTGTCTTAGGACAAATATCAAAAGGGAAATGAAATCTACATTTCAACTCTGTTTCATTTGATTTCTTTCTAAGACAATAACTTGTACTACAACGAGTGTGTCGTTGAACCATGTTTAATAGATCTACATAATCTGATTGTTTTTCATGTTCAGGAATGTCATCATGACTTCTTTGACATGGATGGACCTCAGGTCGTATCCACATGTCCTCATCTGGTGGATTAGGATTGACGGTTGATAATAACCAATCAACATACTGACATACTGTGTCAGCTGCTTTCTTACCAGCTTCAATATACTGGTCTAGTTCAGTTGTATCAGAACAATCATTTTCATCTTTAAATTTTTGAGCTAAGAATCCTTTCAAAGCAGTCTGAGTAAGTTGACACAAACCTGGGTCATTATTTAGTTTAGCAGTACCATGACAATGGATACTACCTCTACCTTGTTGGTGATCGCTAGATATTATACTTCAAAATAAGGTTTCCGTTTTTATAAGGTAGAAAAAACTATCCTAACTCAAAACTAAACCCTAACCCTAATACTATCCCTCACCCTAACCTTAACCTTAACCTAACCCTAACCTAAACCTTAACCTAACCCTAACTTATTTTAAAAATTGATATAAAAACGGAAACCTTATTTTGAAGTATACTATCTAGCAATTGCCCTACCTTGACATTCGTATCGAAACCAGTGCCATTTTGCACCAAATGTATCATAAAGCCAGTGTTTCACAAAGCCTTCTAATCTTTGTGTGAAAAACCAATCTACAACATGGGGATTGTTTATCACACTTTGTCATCTTACATCACTGGTAGAGTGACCTAACTCATTATCAGTATCAGCTTTAAATAAAGCATGTAATTCAGGCCAATGGATGTCTGCAGAGGAGAAAGTGAAAAATAATGTTGGTGCTCCAACACTAGTTATGATAGCTTTGAGTTCCTCTCTTACTCTATTCCAGTAAGCATTAGTACCTGCAATATTGCCAACATATCTCGACACTTTAGACATAAATATATTAGCATTGTTACTGGCAGCCATTTCACGCAGTTCATCAATTGTGAGATGAGCTTCACCTGGGTTCTGTTTGAGGAATATTCCACTTTGTTGTAAAATTCGTTTTCTTTGAATCATATTAAATGCCCAATATGAAAACCTGGGGTGGTTAGCAAAGCGGTATACCCATTCACCATCAATAATTTCAGCAAATTTTATTAGATGCTTTATTCGTTCCTGAAGAGGGACATCTCTCAGAAGTCCTTGATTAGTAGGATCACCTTTCCCATCTGGAAATAAAGTTGGGAAAGCCATTGTGGCCAGATGTGATACCTGATACTCATTTAATGGTTCATTTTCAACTGAGGGCCACGGCATTGGCTCATTTTCAGAAAGCTGATTTCTAACAGCTTCAATTTCCTGTTGTTGTCGTTCGCCAACAGGTAAAAAACTACTCATTTCAGTAGAGTCATTATAAACAATATCCTCTGATGGGTTATCAGTAGGAGGACCTGCATCGGGAGAACAATTGTCGTCAGAGACTATATCATCATCAGTCTCAACAGTCATGAGATCTGGTGGTACACCATTCTCAGGTAATGAATTTAATGCTTCTTCATTAATTGTTAACTTAGAATAATGTGGATTATTATTGATAAGCCAAACTAAGGCATTGTGCACTTTTTGCTTTCGCACTGTCACATCTCTGAACGTCTTATCTTTACCTTTTACTTTGACAATAATGACAGCTATTTCTTTGGGGTATCTTGGCAAAGATGTTGCAAGTTCTGTGACATTTTCTGGCAAGTTAATACAATGCCCTGAATAACCTCGTTGACCACCAAGTTTAATATAAACTCTCATGATAGGTAAAGCACGAGCAATTAACATTTCTTCAATCTGAGTTAAATTCTGCAATTCATTTGGAACAGGTGAAGGTATCATCGAATTTTCACAAGAAAACTTTTTTGGAGATTTTTTATCTCTAGAGCATCGTGAACATGTGTAAGGTTTAGACTTCAAGGGCCATGGTTTAGACTTCAAGGGCCATGCCTCCTGACATACTGTGCACTGACTGGCAATATATTGCACAGACTTATTAAACTTATTAATGTTAGCCTTAGCCTAACATTGCTCTTTAATACCACCATTATCGATGTTGTCAAACATATTTAAATAATCCTGTTGATTTATTTCATGTTCAGGCTGACACTTTTTTTGCCCGCTTTTGTTTTTTATTAAGTCTATCTTTCTCAAGCCTCATTTCTCTGTTGGTGTCAGTTTCCTCTGACCGCTTTCTTTTTTTAGACTCACTATCCTTTTGATGTCTAATTTGTCGTTCATTGTTAGTTTCTTCTAAACACTTTCTTTTTTTAGTCTCACTAGCTTTTTGAAGTCTAGCTTGTCTGTCAATGTCAGTTTCCTCACACTGCTTTCTTTTTTTGTTGGAAGCTATACATTTATTTAATTGCACAGGAACAATTTCAAATAAATTTGTATGTAGTTTCAGCGAAACAGAACACAAATATTGCTCTAAACCAATAATATTAGTAAATTTCATGACAACAGCCGTGCCATTAGGGTTGGGCATGCCACGAAAGTCTCTGGCATGTGAATCAAATAAATAGAAAGGATCCAATTCATTTATCAGGGCCATCATATAACACTCTAATATTAAAATAGCATAACTCTCATTCAAAAAAATATTTGTAAGAGCTGCATGAATAGCGCAGCAGTGAGACTCAATTTCTCGGTCAGGTATAACAAGACCTGAAGCTCTTTTCCATATTTTATAAACCAAAGTTGGTTTTCCATTTCTGCCTCATTAGGCTCTACAGAGATAGGTAAATTGTCATTGTTTTGTGCCTCAATGGGCTCTACCACAATGGGCAGATCACTAGTTGTCACCATTATAGGTGATGACTGCACAGGTAGTTCAATGTTATTTTGTGCCTCAACGGGCAGTTCAATAGTATTTTGTGCCTCAACGGGCAGTTCAATGTTATTTTGTGCCTCAACGGGCAGTTCAATGGTATTTTGTGCCTGAACGGGCAGTTCAATAGTATTTTGTGCCTCAACGGGCAGTTCAATGTTATTTTGTGCTTCAACGGGCAGTTCAATGGTATTTTGTGCCTCAACGGGCAGTTCAATGTTATTTTGTGCCTCAACGGAAAGTTCAATGCAGCCTAGTCCCAGTCGTTCTGAAGCAAGCGCGAGAAAAAAAGTGGATGTAGTACGAGACTGGGACCTAGGTGTGACGTCACCGCTCAAGGTGCTTCAGAACGCCTAGCAGATTTCAGTATTTTTAATATGGCGGAAAATTTATATATACAAGTAACCTTTTAATTATAAATACGACAATGTCCGTTCATCATGTACATGTTCGATGTCTACATAACCAAATCAAACTGTATTA